TTTCAGACCACCTTAGTCACATTTAACCCCACCCGACATTCCACCTGAATCAGATAAACATATCAAAAGTAAATTTGTAAAGGACATACCTCAAAACTAAGTGTGCTAATAAGGCGGTGACTGCTGCACATTCTGTCCTGAGTAAAAATGAGCAAGCACACGTATCTCATTTTGCTGAATCAAATCTCCATATCTCAGGTAGATTTTAGCTCCTGAGTGCTTGCTCAAACAAACGTTAGGTGGTGGCTGTGCGTAATCGTGAGTAACCAAAGGCTCAGCATCGTAGTGGCCTTATGTAACTGATAGGAGACACAGTGAGTGGACAAACACATTTAAAAGTAGTCTATTAAGATCTAATCACCTTTACCAATTTGCACAAAGTCACGCCTGGCTGGCAAATTCCTTGTTCAGTCAAAACAGCGACATGTACACCAGAACAATTGAAGAGAGTAGTGACTTTAACTCTCATTGTTCTCAGAGCTCTTAGAGGAGTGCAGGTGTTCAGATAAGATGAAGCTCACAGGCAGCAAGAAAGGAGTTTGTCAAAAGTGGGTGTTGGTTTAAAGGGAATTTCAGGGTGGATGCCAAAAGTGGACACACCTCTAGATAATCACCAAAGAACTGATTTTTCAACCCAAGTCCCACTCTTGGAGAAAACTGGTCACAGCTACCTGTTGAACCGCAGTGAGTCTGTTTTCTAGACAGACGGGGAACACGATGGACTGAGAGGAAGACCAGAAGTCTTAAGGTAAGTTATTACATTTCAGTCATGATATTGTAATTGCTTTTTAAACCATTTTCAGATCAGCAAAGCCAACGACATGAGATTTAAAGGCGAAACTGAGAGTGGAACTTAAAGAACTTTACATTCAAGCTTCAGCTTAAACTTTCGCGTAGACGTCTGAAGGTTGAAACCAAGTATTGTTGTGTACTCTGGAGGGTTTGATGTGTTGAACAAGCAAGTATTTCATCAATTATTAAAGGTGCTTTTCTTCAAAGTGCCAAACTATGTGTAAGTGCAAACACGACTGAGAGAAGTGGGAGAAAGGTTGGAGGTTTCAGAGCTGTCAGAGTGTGTTTGAACAGAGAGAAGAACGCCTATGTAGAATACATGCTGGTGTGTTTGGAAAAAAATATGAAATCAAAGCTGGTTTTACTATTTTAAGTCTCTATACAGGTATTTAATTGCATTGCTTTGTCTTTATTGTGTTCCAGCGCCCCAGTTTCTAAAGAGTCAAAAGAAGCAGATCAAAGCTGAACTCATGGATTGGAAGTTCCTCCAGGGTCTTCTCAGTGGAGTCAACAAGTACTCCACTGCCTTCGGACGGATCTGGCTGTCGGTGGTCTTCGTCTTCCGGGTGCTGGTCTTCGTGGTGGCTGCCGAGCGGGTCTGGAGCGACGACCAGGGGCACTTTGACTGCAACACTCGCCAACCCGGATGCACCAACATCTGCTATGACTACTTCTTCCCCATCTCCCACATACGTCTCTGGGCCCTTCAGCTCATCTTTGTCACTTGCCCTTCCTTCATGGTGGTGCTGCACGTGGCCTACCGAGAAGAACGGGAACGCAAGTACCAGGCCAAGCACGGAGAGAACACTCGGCTTTACGACAACCCGGGCCAGAAGCACGGCGGTCTGTGGTGGACGTATCTGATGAGCCTCTTCATCAAAACTGCCTTCGAGATCACTTTTCTCTACTTGCTCCACTACATCTACGACAGCTTCAAGCTGCCCAGGAAGGTCCAGTGTGATGTCAGTCCCTGTCCAAATCTGGTGGACTGCTACATATCCCGACCCACTGAGAAGACCATCTTCACCTACTTCATGGTGGGGGCGTCTGTCGTGTGTGTGGTGCTCAACATTTGTGAGATTTTCTATCTGATTGCTTTACGGATGGTGAATCTCAGGCACAGAGGCAGCGTCCACACCTCGTCTAGAAAGATCTACCCTGATACGGACTTTGATGGCAAGTCCTCTCTGAAAGAATAGGTAGAGATCCACTATAGGGAACCAAGAGGTGTCTTATGCTTTTAATTGTTCAACTACGGGGCAATCATTTTTTATTATTATGTTTTTTACAATTAAAGGACATGTTCACCTTTTTCTTTCAAGTCTATCTTTATATTCACATCTTCATGCACAGTGAAAGAGTTGGCCACTAACTGTTCAACTCGAGATCTCTGCCTAACATGATTCAAATAAGATGAATATAAATAAATTATGCACCTGCTGATTTGTCGATGTTAGAGAGCTTTAGCCTCGCATTAGCTCAGGGCTGATACAGATTCTGAGTCTTACTAATGAAAGAGATCGATAATCAATATATGGAGCTGATGTACATTTTCAGTAAAAATTAAAATCTTGGTGTCAAGACTGAGAGCTTAAACTACAGAGACAGAACTTTGTTGAAACACCTTTGTTTATTTATTGCTCATATAAGTTTAATTAAAAGAACTCTCCGATATTTATCCTTTGTTGTTATTTAGGCTGCTACCTGTGCCGTGCAACCAATCAAACAGCGCTGTGAGAGGCGTCAGAATTTCCATCTGTAATTGGAAATAACAATGCTGATCATCAGAAAAATGCTAGCTATTGGATCCAGTAAGTGGTCGCGCCAATAATTAGTCAATTCCTCCTGTAAAGTAATTTTATTACACAGAGGAAACACTGCAGATGTTGTCCCCCCATCTTATATTTCAGGTAGCGATCCCTTATGACTTAAATGAGCCTGTGAGTACTTTTTTAAAGTCTGTCTTGAAAAAAGGTGAACGTATCCTTTAAGGGTATTGAAATTTGCAAATTAATTATAATATAAATGTTCTTTAGACTATGATGGCGTTGTAATAATTTTTTTTTTTATGTATTACAAACATTTTTGTAACAAGACAGTTCGATAATGTGTTAAGTGATCATTAAACGAAGAAGTCAGCAACTCTTCACACTTTTGTGACCACTGTCAGGCTAACAACAAGCTACACTGACTCATTATTCCTTTTTGTATAAAAATAATAAAGTTTCCATCTTGGTGCAATAAAATCAGAGAAAATGAACACTCATGAGTAAGATCTGCCACGTCTCCTTTGTCAATAGCGTCATTTCTCCACATGGTGGCCCTAAAGGCATAATCTTGTGAAGGGTAAAGCCCTCAGAGAACACATGTTCCCAGGGTTCTACTGTTTTCCTATTGTTTATTATGTTAGCTGCTTACTGAGCTGGACTGCTGTAAGTTTCTACAGCATCTTTTAACTGCTGCTTTTAGATGTTTATTCCAACCTTAGACGTCATGTGTTTGCATTTTTAATGGCACCTGACTGTCAAACATGTCGTCTGCTTTATTTTTATCCATCCATGCTATATCTGCTTCATCCTGTGGAGGCCTACGGGGGGGAGAAGACTTCTCCAGCTGACATAGAGTCCATCACAGGGCCAACACAGACAGACACACACAACCATGCACTCGCTCACCTACAGGGAATTATATTTAGAAACACTAATCAACCCATTGTCTTTGAATTGTGGGCAGCTGTATTTATTTTTATAAGTATACTATTTTTGATGCAAAATATTTTATTGTTTGAAAATAATAGTAAATGTTGGCAGTTTTGCAATGGGATCTTCACATCTGTCATCAGGCATTGAGCCAGGTGAGGTCCTTAAGCACAACCCATTTAGCCAACCTTCATTATAATAATAATTATTATTATCATTATTTATTTTAAAGACAATTATGCATGCAGTCTTTTGATTGTAGTGTCGTCTACACTCATGTACAGACATTTCCCTGCTTCACTTCGACCACACCAAAACACGGGGAGGTGCCAACAGGTGCGTCAAAGTTGCCTAATTTATTCACAGACAACTAACAAACAACTTTAGTTTCAAAATAAAAGCATGCGCGTGTAAGCAAAGAAGAAATACACAAGGAGTGTTTGAGGAAATTTGGAACATTTTTAGCATTCATTTAACACAGATTATCACTTAAACATAATCTAAATTTTGGTGCAAATTATTTATTTGTTTAAGCAATTACAGCCTCAACCCAGTTTTTGCTGATATTTTTAACATTCATCTTCACATGCACTAGTTAGCGCAAATTTAGCTTCTGGGCTCAAAGTCACTCTGATCATCTGACATTTAAATAATCTAGAATAGTATAAACAGGCAGGGAGACGTCCTCGGGTAAAGTTTTATTTTGAAATTTTGTCAAAGTGCCACATTCAGTGCGTCTGGCTGCGTGACACTAACAGGACAGTCTGATTAGTTGGAAGAGAAAAGAGGACACGCTGACCAGCTCCACACACAGACCTGTCAGCTGAAGCGAATGGTCACCTGACAGAGATGGCCGATACAGGTAATAAATACACCTGTTGGGGGGGTTGGCATTAAACGCAGCCAGTGTTGGTTTCATACCTTCACTTGTTTGTTTGGGTGCGGTGGTGGTGGTGGTGTGGCACAGCTGCACGAGGATGGGAGCTTTGAAATCGCATTATCATGTGAATGATTTTTTATTGTATTTTTTTTGTATTTTGACCTCAGAACTTCAAAAATGATTTAAACCAGGCTGAACGAGTGCTGCTGAATAATTTAAAATCCTCTGATCTGTTTTGAACTGGCATCCCACCTGGTGTCTGGTCGTTTCTGGCTCAACAGCTCTGTGAAATGTAAATTGTCACCTCTGCATGTGGGAGGTCTGAGGTCATGCAGGAACGTGAAAATGAGCATTCTCCAAATACTGGGCTGTGGAGCTGTCTCTGCCATGTTGGGGATGTGAGCAGAGGCCGGGTGGAAATGGAGACTTGTGCCATTTGTAACTGGGTTCAGTGTGAAAATTGACAAAAAATAATAAAATGTAATGAAAATAATGAGTTGTGGTTCAATAGAAATATATTATAAAAAAGCATAAAATAATATTTTGTAATTTGGAAATCCCTGCAATCAAGTGTTTTCTGTAACTATCCGGTATTTTGCTGTTGGCCCACTGCTCATCAGCAAAGTGCTCTAATTTCTACGGGACCGTTTTTTTTTTTTTTTTCTAATTATTTTTTTCAACCACAATTAAAAGCAGTGTCATGTTTCACTAAATTATAATTTAGGAAATTTTTATTTATTATTACTTTTTTCAGTTTCTAGTTATTTGAGTGACTATTGTGAATTTTTGCCTTTTCTTTAATGGAAGGGTATGAATACATTTGAGGACGACTGTATGTGCAAGGTAGCCTGATAAATTCCATCAAGTAATTCATTAAGAGACGTACGGTCTTGTTGTCAAGTTTTGCACTTTTTAAATCGCGTTCACAATTATTTTACTTTATATAACTTGACTTTATGATGAACACTTTCCCTGGAGCATCAGATATTTTTTTTGTAGTGTCACACACTTGTTGTCAGTTTGCGCAGCCCGAACTGCAACTATGTATGTGCTCAGCAGCTAATTATTAACACAGGAGACATCTCTGCTGTAGTTTGGACCCGACTCCTGTGTTTGTGATCAATACACCCGGAGCATCACGGATGAAGTAACGTGACATGAAATCGCTGCAGCTCTCTCTGTGTTTTGGAATTTAACCGGCCTCTCCTCCCTCAATCCTCAGGATTGTGCTGCAGCAGCCTGGAGGAGCCCAAAGCCCTGATGAAGATGGGTCTGAGCGTGGTCCTCGTGGGTCACGTTAACTTCTTACTGGGAGCGCTGGTGCACGGCGTGGTGCTCAGGCACATCAACCTCCACAAGCAGGCCCGGGCCATGGAGTACGCCATCTCCAACGTGGTGGCTCTCACCTCTGGCCTGGTGGTGAGTGCACAGGATGATTTCACTCTGATCCTGTTCTACACGATCACGAGAGAACTATAACTATGGACTCTAAGGGAGTTTTGCAATTTGCCTCACACAGTTTTTTCTCCAGAAGTATTTTCGGTTGATGACTCGCTGCACAAACACTGCTGCTGTTATGACACCGTGACCAGAAGAAGCACCCTTTTGAATGACCTGTTTTTCTGCATTAAAACAAATAAATAGTCACGCGATGTGCTTAAGATAACTTTTCATTTCTAATCCGCACCTCCAATCTTTCATCGACTAAGGCCAAGTTTGCTAATTCTCAACTATACTTAGCTTTTGTTGACGGGATTAGCCTTTAGGGGGAGGATATATTTAGTGCAGTTAAAAACAATGCAGGGGTTTGTGACGTATTAGTTAAAATAGATTGTGTTTGAAGATCTGACCGTAATTTAAGTAGATTTGTAGTCAAGAAAATCTCGGTCAACTGACTCCATACTTACTTTTTAACCAACGATGGGTCGCAGAGGGAAAATAATCTGCGTTTTATCTCCAGATTAACTAAATCTTCTGAAGTGCACTCTACCTGCTAGCCCTACTAAACTAATTAAATTCTAAATTAGCAGAAAAAAGCTAGTACTTGCAGCATGTTAAATCATTAGGACCTGGATATTTTATATTGAAGTGATCAGACTCAAACCAAAATGTACAAAATTCAGATAACTCCATCATCTGGTGATTGAAACACAAGAACTGTTGAGGAATATACCACAGACAAGTTAGTGTACTGATGATCTGCTGTGTCGGTTGTTAAGCTGTGATATACAAACTGCTTGTTTGCAAAGTTTGACTTTTTGCCGTCGGTTTTTAACAAAAGCTGCACTGAAGAGTTTGGTTAGTTTGGAGCTGACTGCCGGTAAATATTTAGCACATGTGAAGTAAGTTAGACGCAGCAGTCTCCATTAGGTTGGGCAGGTTCAAAGTTATGAACGCAATTTTTTCCTCCTTTCGCCAAACACAACAGATTTTCTCCTAATAAAAGTAACACCAGTGATGGACTCACTAAAGAGAATTTATTCGATGTTGGCCAAACAATTGTCCTCTCAACTTGGACACTACAGCCAAAATTTATTCCTAAATGCCTTTAATTCCCAGTGGTTCACTTCCTACTGTTGAGCTTCTACTTCTTAAAACATATTACACCAGATAGATTCTTCAGTTTTGTACCACAAAACACCCTGAAAGTTGCTACGAGGTGGTATTTTTCTGAAGATGGCAAACAGCCCGTGAGCGTCTGACACGATGTGAGAGGTGTCAGACGCTCATGGGCTGTATCCTGCAAAACAGTCCCATTGGATCCGTCTGTTCTTTCGGGGTTACTTGTAAAATCACTGTTCCTAAACAACAAAAACACATTTATAATAAATAATAATAATTGATCAGATTGATATAGCGCTTTTCTAGACACTCAAAGACGCTTTACACTGTCAATTATTCATTCACACACATTCATTCTGGTGGTGGTAGCTACGATTGTAGCCACAGCTGCCCTGGGGCAGACTGACAGAGATGTGGCTGCCATTCTGCCCCTCCGACCACCACCTCAAATAATCCATTCATACGCATTTACACCAGGCAAGCTGGGTGAAGTGTCTTGCCTAAGGACACAACGACCATGAAACAGGCTACAGGACGGAATCGAACCGCCGACCTTCCCATCATTGACCGACTCGCTCTAACACCTGAGCCCTGATTTAAACTGATAATTCCAATTGGTGACAAAAGTTAGAGGGCCAGTCTGTGATGGTTTTCTTTAAGGGCCTCTCAAAAACAACTTCGAAAACACACAGACGTGCATAACGTCACGTTTGAAATGCTTGTGGTGATAACACAGCTGTAGTGTTGAAGGAAGCTGTTGTGTTGTTGCTGCCTCAACTGTCCTGAGACTGGATGAGGAAAAAAAAGGATGTGAAATCAAACTATATTATGTTTTGTGGTAGTTTTTGCATTTTTTCTTTCCCTGTTTAGTCATATACAGTTGAAACCAGAGGTTTACATACACTGTAAGACACAAAACCTCTTTTTCCTCACTGTCTGACATTCAGTGTGGCTAAACTTTTCCTGTTTTAGGTCAGTTAGGATTACCAAAATTATTTCCATTTGCTAAACACCAGAATAACGAGAGAGAGAATTTTTTTATTACTTTCTTCAAAGTCAGAAGTTTACATACATCTCCTTAGTATTTGGCAGCATTGCCTTTAAACTGTGTGACTTGGGCTAATCATTTTGGGTTTCCTTCCACAAGCTTCTCACAATAGTCTGGTTGATGGCTGGACGTTACATATACGTGCATATAGTTGTTTAAACAGATGAACGTGGAGCCTTCAGGCATCTAGAAATTGCACCCAAGGATGAACCAGACTTGTGGAGGTCCACAATTCTCTTCCTGATATCTTGACTGATTTCTTTAGATTTCCCATGTTGTCACAAAAGGAAGCAGCGTGTTTGAGGTGTGCCTCCAGTTAACTCAAATGTTGTCAATTAACTTATTGAAGCTTCCAAAGCCATGACATCATCATCATCATCTGGGCTTTCCCAAATAGTTTGAAGGCACAGTAATCTTAGTGTATGCAAACTTCTGACTTTGAAGAAAGTAGTTTTTAAGAAAAAAATCTCTTTAAAATTCATCTCTGTCATTATTCTGGCATTTAGCAAAGATAAATAATTTTGCTAACTCACCTAAAACAGGAAAAGTTTAGTCTGATTTAATGTGTATGTAAACTTCTGGTTTTAACTGTAGCTGCTACAAATGGAACAATATGAATGTATTTCTAAATCCCGTCTGTCTTCTCTCTGCAGGGCATCGTTGTTGGTGTTCTGGCTATTGTTCTGTCTAAAAACAAGAAGAGTAGAGGCCTGGTTAGTATCCCTTCTGTTTTTTTTTACTTTGATTTCAAACATCCAGGCAAGAATGTAGAGTGCATTCTTCCCCCCTGATGTCTTCACTTTGTCTAACTGTACTCTTCCAAATCAGTATTTTCATAGCAGGCTGCTGCTTTCAGTCCGTCTACCTGCTCGCTGCTCGCTTCCCTTTTTCGCTTTGATATTTTACTCGCTCTTTATTCTCACATATGAAAGCCAGCATGTTGCCTCAGGTGTCCGAATCTGGCCCTGCAGAGCTGGAATAGTCTGTGTTTATTCAGTCAGCTGTCGGGCTGCTCAGACGGGACCGACGAGGCAGCTTCTCTGAACAGAATGAGTAAGCGTGATAAACCCCTCCCCGCTTCCTTTGTTGGCGAGAGCCACCTTAAAGCAGGCAGGGCAGAACTAACAGGGAGCAGTCTGATCACCAACTGCCTCCTTATCTTATTCAGTCATGCAGTCGTCTCATGGCATGAATGAAAACGTGTCGACACATGCCTCCGTCATACGAGCTGCTTGTAATCTCTCAGATGTGTTATTTTGTTATCAAGCGTCGATTTAACACCTCAGTCGTCATCGCAAAGTGAAGAGAGAGTCTCACCTTTTGTAAATTTGTTAAAGGAGAGGTTTCCCTACCCCAGTCTATTATTTCTGAACATACATTGCTGATAGTTTCGTCTCGGGAGTCCGGCTGAGGCTTGCATCATTCTTTACTTTTCCAAAACAGTTCAGCGAGTCCACCTCCCATCACTTCCTAAACTGTCTGTCAAACCCGTCCATGAAGAGGGGTCACAAAATTTTGTTCAAGTAATTCTCTGACACAGCTGGGCTCCGTCATTTTGCAAACGGGAGTGTTAATGCATTTGTTGGAGATTGTTTTCAGCGGTGGAGCAGCACAGTCTGTGTGGGACTGAGCCAAAGTAAATGTTAGTGTGTTGTACAGTGTTTATGTTTGTTGGCCTAATTGTTAGCATAGTTTTAACACAGTCCCGACTGCCTTGTTTCTGCTGTGACCGGATCGGAATTTTCTTCTTAAAGCGTGACCATAAATGGCCATCATTTATTATTATTATTATTATTAAATCACTTTATTGCAGAGGAGAACTTGCTGTTCATTCTGATTCACGCCTGCATTAAAAACACAACAGTAGAAACTTAACGCAACAAAATCATTACTCAGATATCGATCTTTTATTTTATTTTTCAATACTTTATTACTTGTTTTTGACTTGATCCTCCTCAGCCTTGGAGGATCCCCAGATTTCCGGAGAGATGTTCAGCCAGTTTTCAGAGCCTATTTTTTCAGCTGCTCTTTGCTTTGAGGTGGCCACGTTCACACCAAACATGCCGGATCCCATCTGAGCCGAACATATTTATCTTGGTATCGTCTGACCAAAGAATGTGCTCCCAATATTCATGAGGCTTTTTTTCATTGTTTGTTTTAGTGAAGTTTTATCTTGCAGTTAAGTGCCAAAGAGCAAGAAAGGGTTTTTTTTTTTCTTCTTTGATATTATGTAATGTTCTTCACAGAGTTTAAGCTGCCACAGAAACTTCCACTGATAACCCTCGTGCCAAGTCTAAGGCTCTCGCCGTCTGTGTCGGAGCGACTCTGTGCAAACAGAACATTGTCCCCGGTGTCGTTTTAGGAGGATGCTGTTCTGATTAGCGGTACCATGGCTCATTAAATACCTCCTGATAACTGCTTCAACTATGTTTTCCTGCTAATTCCTTCCCCTGGCAACTCTTTTTACAGCCATGATAAAGACACACAGTCTGTGGTTGAAAAGTTCAGATTATTTTACAACCATGGGCATGCAATTAATGTTTATTTTAAATCGCACATGAACTCACGTTTATTCAGGGGTACATTTGTTGCACTGAGTTTCTACTTTGGAGCCTGTGTTTTCAGTCTAAACTTTCTGAAGTATTTGTTCTTGATTGTTCATAAGATGACATCAATATTTCTTCTTGAACATATTTACAGATCTTTTTTCCCCCCTGTGTTTAAATCTGATCCTTTTGTGTTGTAGCTGCTGCCTTAGCGCTACTGTATTTGCGCTCTTTGTATAGGCCTTGTCCACAGCACACATTTTGAGTTGTCATGGCACAAAAAAACAGGATGATGGATAATGATGGAACAGTTCCATTAGGAGTCCCAGAAAGCCGTGACAGTGAGTCAGCAGGTAGAAGCAGAATCCAGCCGTCATTAATACACCTGAGCTTTTCTCGCTGTGACATGTCAAAATATATGCTGTGAAAAAAAAAGCTCTATTGATGTTGTTTACTCTTTGTCTGCCTTTTATCTATTTGCTGCTGCAGACGCCCCAGTTTCCCAACTGGGAGCATTAAAGCTTCATCAGTCATCAAGATTTTCTTTCCTGATTATTTTGTGTTTTTTTTTTCCTTCCCCAGACGTGGTCTCTCTTCACAGTCAGTCTGGTCGCCGCTCTCATGGCGGCGGCGTCGGCCGTCGGGCTCTTCGTGTCCGTGGTCAGGGCCATCATTCACGGTGGGCGGAGCCTCCTGACTCACTGCCGCTTCCCCGACGCCATCGGCTACTCCAGCGTCACCAACGAGTGTCCTTTTGACCCCACGCGAATCTACGTGAGTGTATCAGTGTGTGAGACAGATGCTGAGATCAAGGCTTGAACTGTGACCTTTCGCGCAGCTGCCGGCTCTTTGAACAGATGACCATCGCCAAAGCGACATGAACACAGCAGAGCAGGGAGGCTGTACATGATGGTGTGTACAAAGGGTGTGGGAGAAGGAAGCTGGATTGTCCGTCTTTGCTGCCACTCAGTCAGTCACACTGTGCAGCTGACGGGCTGGTGGCAGAATCGCTGACCTGACCCTGTCGACCCACTTCAGGCTGCGTCCTGTTCCAGTGTGCTGCAGATGGACTGTCAGGCCCGCTCAGCCTCAGTGCCGCATCCACACATCAACACCGCTTTGGCATTTTAACACGGCTTGCAGTTGACAATTTGTCAGTTGCGTGACCTTTTGTCGTGGTCTGGCTTTATTTATGACACAATGGGTTAATGGCAGAGCCGCTGCGTACAGTGAGGACTTTAATTTGAACAGATTTCGCCCATTAATAGCACAAACACAGCAGCAGACAGACGTACAATCAGCCATTGTGTTTATATTCTTTCAATCACGTCTGTGACACAGTGCACCAGTGGGAGGGCTTGACTCATCTCATTATTGAAAAGGAGACTACCATCATACAGTCCTGTTTACAATTCAATCTGTCATTCGCAGTGGTGCAGAGTGGTAATTACAGGGTGCCACTCTCTACCACAGTGTGAAGCCTTGTTTCTGTGGCAGGTATTGCACACAAACAGATATGTTCGTATTTTAAAATCCCTTTCCAGTCAGTGATTTAACCTCTAAAAGCTTATCTCTGTGTATCACAGTTACTAACGGTACATGAAAATATGATAAAAAATGGCTGAAATGTAACTCTGGACCGTTGCTTCATTAAGAATCTTTGGATTTATGAAGTTGCATGTATTCAACTTTGATAATTATATAACCCTGGAAATCTAAATTTAGTTTTAAGGTTGAAATGCTAAAACATGGTGTTGACTCTTGACTTTTCCTGCACATAAAAAAAAAAAACATCATATAGGCTATTACCATTTAAAATAAAATAAAATAAAAAAATCCCAAGTTGTTTTTCTCTTGCTTTTTGCCAATATTCTGTGTTACACATTGTGTACCGATGGCCGACACAGTGCCGCTCCTGAAGGCATCCTGTTCTTCTCACAGGACTCAATCTGCTGCTATCGTGCTGTTTTCGCTGTGCAGACGTCGTGTTGTTTCCCTTCGCAGATGCTTATAAAGCTTTTCTGCTACTTGTCTTCACTAATTTGTCAGAGAAAACACAGTCGCAATTCCTGTAGCCACGATAGTCCTGATGTGTACGACACGTTTGTCAGGAAGCACGCTGCTAACTCTTTAGCTATGAGGGTTTACATTCATAGTCCTACAGCTCTGCCATAAGCCCTGAACATACAAATTCTTCGCTTCAATGTAATTTCAAAATTGCACATTTTCCACTGTATAAAAAAATGGAGCTAAAAATGACACTTCTGTTGACCTCAGGCTAGTTTAGCCTTAGTAGATTAGAATAGAATGTAACTGTTAGAAATTAATGTAATGTAATGAATGTAACTGCTAGAAACTTGTCATGCTATCTTTAGCCCATGTTCAATGATAAACTGCAGCATCCTAAAGTAGTAACTAGTTAAAGTAAAGTAACTCGCTGGCCACTAAGTTTTGTTTTTTTGCAACTTGGGACTTGGCTTGATTTAACTTGGTGTCTATCAATAATGTTAGATAAAATCTCCCTGAGTTGAGAGACAAACAGACTAATTGTCTGCTTGTTTTGTTCATAATTTGTCTTCTAGCATTAAGAAACATCTTATGGATTTGTTCACAAGGTAAAAACTGACAGGTTTTCACCAGAAGGTGTCTTTAAACAAATCCCCAGATCATCCAAATTTATTTGGAAGAAGAAAAGAAAAGAGAACAACAACATTTAAAGGCAAACTGTTCCTGGAACGAGGGATTACTAGAGTCCTCTTGAGTGTGCTTTATTCCTGTGTTACCTACAAATGAAGTTTGTGATAAACTAGATTTAAACTGGGTTCCAACTCAGAGGTAACTAACTTTGTCGCAGCCTACTGAGACTGCCGAGCCATGCTGTTCAGTAAGCACCGTATATTAGCTGGGGACTTCCAATATGGCTGCCGGAGGGCGCATTACATCACCTGAAAGTGTGTTTTGACTTCTGGTTCTAATACTTGCAGTTGCTTAGAGGCAGTAATGATGGTTACGCAAGGTTTATTTTCTGTGCTTCCTGCATATTTCATAATGATTTCCAAAGAAAGCTCCAAACTTCAAGATGTAAACTTTTCATTCTCTTTGTAGTCTGCAAGTCAGCATGCCTAACAAAAGACAGCTCTTTTACTTTGAATCCCCCCCCGTACACTTTTACTTTGATACGTTCTGCTCTGCATATTTTATTCACAAAGCTGACTCTCCTGTGCAAACTGAAACTCCCGGACTTGCTGGTGTTGTTTTGCAGTTAGTCGCCCGAGAACAGAATCTGTACCACATCATTACCTGTACTGTATGGTCTCTGAATGTACTCTTTGAATGGTCCAGCTGGTGTTTTCCACTAACTCCCCTCCTCCTCTCCCCTCCCCTAGAGTACCACCCTGATCCTTTGGGCTCCTCTGATCGTGACTTGTGTCATCCAGCTGGTTTTTTCCGCCCGTTGCTTTGCTGTCTGCGTTTCCTTCCTGGGTCTGCCTTGCTGCCCCACCAGGAAGAAACCCAGAGACTACGGCAGAGCGGTGAGACTTTGATGCAAAACACACATCTAAAAACAGAATCCTTGATGACGAGATGGTGCGTAGGACAGTGGTAATAAATTAGATCAATAAACTTTCACAATTTCTGTTTGGATAGATCAATGTGGTGAGGCCGATGGAGGAAGTTGCTCGCTATACTGAGCCTCCAAGAAGCTACAATGAACCTGCAACACGCCATCCTGAGCGTCCAAGACACTACAATGAAAATCCAAGACGGACCGCTGCACCTCCAAGAAGGACCACTGCACCTCCAAGACAGCAGCACCGACCTCCTCCTCCTCCACAGCAGCATGTTCCCCGCCAGCACCAGAGTCTTCCTCCGTCGGAGAGGCGGCCTCTTCACCAACCGTATAGAGAAAGGTCAGACAGAGAAAGGGCAGAAACAAGGTCTGGCAGCCAGCAAAGGGCACCGGAGCAACACCAGCTGCTGCAGAGGGGTGCACTGGAAAGGTCCAGCTTCTGGATTTAGCCATACTTGACATGTTAGACCTTCTCGAAGAATGAAACACAGCGCTTACAGGTTCTATGCTGTAGTTTTAGCCACAGTGCTTGGAGTTAAACATGCTCACTACCCTCGATTCCTGTCAGTACTTCACAGCCACGACCTCAGAGACTGAAGATGTTTTATTTAGTTGACCTGATGTATGGGTGTTCTCAGGCTCAGACTGTTTGCACGGTGTGCAGGATCCCAGCGATGTGAGTTTGTCTGTTCTTGTCTACTTATGAGAGACAAAATATTCGTATCAGGAGAGAAATACGAGCTCAGGTGAGCGCTAGAGGGAGAACATGGTGACAGTCCTCAATGGAATAGTTTGACATTATGGGAAATAACTTTTTTGTAAAGAGTTGGAGATTGATACCACTCGAATGTCTGATGTACGGAGCTGCAGTTAAACCATGGCTAACTTTGCTTTGAATTAAGACTTGATGTAGGGGGGAAATTGGCGCCCACCTCTCCTCAGAGCGAAACAAAAAACACCGAACAAGAACTCCTGTTTATTATGAAAGTGTGAAGATTACAAGGTGTGGTTTTTCACAGGGGTTATTGGTGCTTTAACATCTGCAAAATTAAAAAGAACAAGATAAACATCGCTTATTCTGACTTGGGAGTCACAAACTGTATTTCCATAACATTTTTATGTACACTTGCATTAGATAAATCACAATTGTGCAAAAAGGTTTTGGTGAAATTAGTCTGCTTAGTTACAGCGAACCGCCACGTTTCTGTGACATGAAGAACTTAGCAAGTCAGAAGCTGAAGTTTCCTGTGACTTCTGGACTTGTGTGAATTTTCTTAGCCAGGAACCCTTTTTTTTCAAATTCCAACACCACATGAATGCGCTACCGTTTCATGACGCTTTAGCTCCAGTGCTACCTCGTCACATTGCTTACGTTGGCTAATTCTGTCATGTTACAGACTTGCAGCAGTTTGTGAAACCAGTTATGAACGAACCTCCTATCACTGTAATAATTTGTTTTAAATAACGTGATGTGAACACACGCTTGAGAATTCAGCCTTTGTATGAAGTTAGCTTAGCATTAAATTTGAAATGGAGAAAAGGCTAATCTGACTTAACACGTGTGTCGGTGCCACTAATTAACACTATTTTTCATGTTTTTTTTAAATTTCTTTTCAGTGTTTACACAAACAGAAATAGCCATTCTTGCCATTTCTTCTGCTTATGCTAGCTTGGCTAAGCTAATTGCCTCCTGAGTCTAAGCTTTAAGCTGAAAAACGAGCGTGCTAAGGGGACTTTTTGCCCAAAACCAGTGTATTTCCCACAATGTTGAACTATTTCTTTTAAGGTTTGAATTCACACATATAGAAAGGGCGGGTAGCGTAATAATTATCCATACAAGTGAAGCGTTTACAGCACGCCGAGTGTGTGTGGGTGTGCCTTCTGCTTTCTACCTGTTTTTGCCAAGAATTGAGCCTCTGGTATGTGCTGCCTGTCTGAATCCAATGTGTGTGTCTGTTTTATCCGCCGTTAGGTCAAGAGAAACTAGTAGTGGAAGTTTTTGTATTTATTGCCAAAGTAAATAAAGTTTTTATTCTCAGTAATGCTACTGTCTTGTGTGTTTTTGTGTGTGAGCTCTAAAGTTTTTGATATGTGGTAATGGCAGCAGCTAGTGGCCCGACAGGTACGACTGGTTACGCTCACAGGTAGACTTCCTGACAGGTTGGTACAGTCGTGGCAGGTGTACGACCTGCAGCTGCCACAAATAAACGTCTGTTAATGCATTTCTAAATGAGCAGAAATGAGGACACAGTCCACAGCTTTGAAACACATAGGTATATTTTGATTTCAGGTTCAACAGAACAAACATGACATCCTCTTATGAGGTTTTCATGCAACAAAAAGAAAAAAAAACTGGAAGAAAAGAAGGAAAGGAAAAGGGAGGTTAGGAAGGAAAGAAAAAAAAGAAAGAACAGGGCTTATTTATCCAACACAAGGTACCAGTTCATCAGAGGCAGTGAGAATAGAAAAGGTTTAAACTGTAGTAGATCAGGGAGTAGCAACTGTTGTTCCTTATCCTACCAGCAGAAGGCAGTGACACTAAAGGATCCCCAAAAGCAGAGGTGCGGCTGGTAAGGAAGCTCCTGTGCAAATGTTTGGTACAAGTTAACTTTCCATCAGTCTTAATGTCACGTGGATGCAGCTGCAGCAGCACAGCTCTCAGACTCTCGGCGTCGCTTCAATTCGCCCTCATTGCACACAGTAGCTCAGTGTGTGAGGTAGTGAAATATTACTGACGCTTTAAATTAGGCTTTTTGTTTCAATCTGATGTTGCTCGAGTGGAGTTTCTTGACCAGGTTAAAAAAAAAAATTGAATAAATACAAAATTCTTATCCCATTTAAAGAGTCCTGCAGTAAAACCTTCCTGTTCAACATGAAAAGGAACTTTTTTTTTTTTCCCCCTGTCCAATGTTTACCCACTTCACAGACTGAACTTTAAGGTGTGTTTCATTTAAAAAACAGAAGGTGGCATTAATGATCTAACGATGGGGCATTTTTAAGGTGTGATATGTGAGAGTGCTGCTGGCTGTGCTGCAACCAGTGGCTCTGTTTACATACGCACACAATATTCATCTTTGCATGTTTCATTCAGCCAAGGCCATATTTTAAAACCACAAAAGCCTCATATTTATTCTGATATAACTGACAAATTTATGCATTTTCAAAAATATTTGACCTTCCAATTACAAATGAGAAGACAACAAAGGAAGAACCTTAAAGGCGCCGATGTAAATGCAGCCACTGGTATCTGCCAAAGTGCGACAATGTGTTTGTAAACCCTAAGACTCCAAATCAGAGCAAGTATTTGAACTTGGCCTCATCCCGTGAAACAAGTCCCTTCATCTAACTGCTCTGCAAGCAGACTAATCCAGGAGGTCAGAAAAAGCATTCAGCTAGAGAGTGATGAACTAGCCCTTAGTGAATTCTCTGTCTTGTCAGAGGAAAAAAAGAGAGCGGGGGCGGGAGGGCAGGGGTTGTCCCAAAGCAAGACAAATATTCAATCATTTTTCTGCCTGATCCGGTGCGGAGGAGGCTGCGGAGCTACAAAAAGATACCACTGTGCGTAAACTGTTTTTTTTTTTTTTGTGGATTTTTTTTTCCATCGGATCATGCAGTATAGTGACAGGTTACGACTATCTTAAGTTTACTGCTCGTTGTTAAAGAGCTTTAAAATACTTACAAATTAAGAAACAACACAACATGGTAATACTGTAAAAGTTAGCCTCAAGCATACGGTGTATATTCACATGCACGCGCACGCATTCGAACCAAATTGCACAGCCGTACTTTATAAACACATGGCGGCTCAAACGATATGTGCTACTGGTGCCGTTGATCAAATGCATCATGGGATCCCACCAAAACTTCACTATTATTCTTCGCTTTCACGTCAAATCCCAAAGAGATCAGCCTTAAACTCGCGTGTTCTCTCTCTCTCTGTCACTGTAAACTGGAATATCTTAAACAACATATCAAAGTAAAAGAACAACAATAAGAATAAAAATGAATAAATAAAATAACATGAAGGAGGAAAAACAGTCTGTACAAATGAAAAAAAAAAAAAAGCATTTAAAATTTTAAAAATCATTAGATGTTGATAAAAACTGAATGGGATCTTAGGCCTTCTTTTTCTCAGCGAAAGATCATATAGCAGTAAAATCCCAAGCACCCCACCCCCCCATCCCAACCTCCACCTCCGTTCGAATCAGACCAGGAAGCTACGCTACATAATACTGCCTTCCAATGCCAGAGAGCGTGCGCCATACATCAAGACAAATGTACTTCATCTTATGATATACACAGACGTACAGTATATACATGATATACACGTGTGTCGGAGGAGAAACCGAGCGATCCCCACGCTTGCGAAAAAAAACAAACAAACAAAAAAAAAACATCCACACTTCCACTCCCTGGAAATCTGACGTTCCAGAGAGAGAGAGAGATATTCAGGAACATTAATGGGCGCCTCTCTCGATCGATCGTTAAACGTATGCATGTCCCTCCGTCTTCCCAAATATAAAATGATAGCGATGACTTTTTCTCATCCTCCTCCTCCATCCTTGCACACAACAACAAAAATAAAAGAAAAGATGATATGAGAGACAAGAACCATCATGCATTGATTTGAGTGACTGTTTCAATAGCAACAGAGAGAGGGTGAGGAGCAAAAAAAAATATATAAAGGGGTCGCGGCACGGGCAGGGTTCAGAACTGGGAGGCCGAGCTGGGGTCGCACTGGAGTAGCCGGACGATGGAGGGGTCGCTTTTGGCACCTTTGATGAACTCCTCCAGGGACAGTTTGCCTGCAAGACAGATGGGAGGGAGAGAAAAAAAAAGAAGAAAGATATCAGTTTGTGGGCATATGGCAGACGTGTTACACACAGACTATGATGAGGCTTATTTGAATAAGTCAGCGTGGTATCAGAATTGCTAAGGAAGGAATCTGAGAGCACAATCAGATTTTGTGCTGACCTGAATTGAATCTGTTATTTATCCTGGTGTGAAACATCGTGACAGAGATTTTTAATATGGGGTTTGCTGGTTGGGGTGGGCGTCCATTTGCTCTCAGAAAAGCTTAAAGTTGTGGTCGACTAGTCAAAAATAATAAGTTAAATGACATCCTTTCTCATCCCTAAACAATTTCCATTGACCTTGATGGGATGTGTCAAGATGTGAAGGAAAGATGCAAAAGTAACTAACAAAGTAATGTAATGGTAAATGTTGGTGACTACAACCTTCCAAAGATGGCGTAATAAAAGTGCATTTGATATGGATTGCCCCGTACTTTCTTACCACGTTATTTCATACAAGCGTCACTTTATCACCAAGAGAAATTTGAATAAAAAAGGAGTGTAGGCTCCCAGTCAAAAAAGTCAAACAGAACAGCTGTCACATTGAGAACGGCTGCTTCTACTCACTTTCCTGTCCACTCACATTTACCAACATGAATCCCCATTAGTATGATTGTGTAACTAGAACTGTTGACTTCATGCAAGATGGGTGTTTTGTGCTTAAATCTACTGCTGTTAAATTAAAAACATAATCTAGCTAAAAATGTCTTACATCCAGTTTTCTTGAAAGACAGGCTTCTGTGTTGATTCTGATCTGATTCTAAGCCTGTGCAAACTCAAGAACTCAAGAACTGCCACACAACTCAGTCAACACCTTGAAATATTGACTTGCTTCGGATGTTGCCGCTGCAAGGAATAGTGTCGGTATGATCTCATTTCTTTTAGGAAAGCCTCCAGCGTATCCTAAACTAAAGGAGACGAGAAAGGAAACATAGAAGCACCTTTCCTGAGCATTTATTGAATTTCTTTTTATTTAATTGAATTTAATTGAATTTCCCTTCTCGGATAAATAAAGTATTTTTCATTTCATTTTCATTCATTTCATTTCATTTCATTTTAGAGGATATGTCCAGCTCCTATTACAATCATTTCAATCAGTTAGGAACCACCCAAAGCAAAACAGACTGTTCGTTTTGGTGTTGTGGATTTACAAGATAATGACTTGATTGCACTGCAACCTCATATTCTCCCACTTCTCTAAGGTGTTCTACTGGATCCAGACTATACAGACTGTACAACAAAGGTGAATGAGCCAATGAAAAAGTGGCTAAAGCATGCATTGCTTCTTCCAGCCAGCAGGGGTGACTCCTCTGGTTACAAACAGAAGTCAGATTGTGTGACATCGATGAGAAAAATGACTGTAATTCTCACTTCATCTGTTATCGCAGCAAACATTTCCTAAATTCGTTTACAGTTTCAATTCCTACTTTCATTTTTAAATACAGCGTAATGTTCATTTAGTAAATTATGGTTCTGTTTAGAGCGAAATAGCCAATAAAGCAGGGAATGCTTTAGGGCGGGGCTACCTTGTGATTGACAGGTCACTGTGTGTGGTGTCACCAGGTTCTCCAGTCAGATCCGCTGCTCACTCACAGTTTCAGAAAGCTAACATGGCGTTGGCCAAATGCCAAAGACTCCAAGAGTTGACAAGCCAATGGGTAACATTATGGCGGCTATGCTCATATTTTATATGCTCGGTTCAAATCTGGTGACTGGAGAGGCCTTCGACGTCCACTGAGCTCACTGTTATGTTCATGAAACCAGCTTACTTTCGCTTGCTTGTATTGCTTGTGTTGCTTGTATAATGCTGCTGGACATGGCCATTAGAAGATGGTATACTGTGACCATAATGGGATGTACAGAGTCAGCATCCGTACTCAGACAGGCTCTGGCATTAAAAACCATAACTGTTCAGTATTAAGAGGTCCAAAGTGTTCCAAGAACACACTCCTCACACCATTACATCAGCAGCAACAGCCTGCAATGCTGAAACAAGGTAGATTGGGTCTGTGGATGTATGTTGGTGATACTAAACTCTTTGCTTACCACCTACTTGATGATACATATGATTATGGGCACAACTCTGCAATTTGTTGTGTAATTAATTAAAAAAAAAACATCCTATTTCAAAGAAAAAGAGACAGAATGTTGCAAGAAAATGTGTTTTTCCCCTTTGGTTTGGTATTAATAGAAGATGCATGTTGGGTTGTTTGATGTTTGATTAACAGCAGGATCTTGTAATCCCATAATGAATGCTCGGCAAGAAAGTGAAATAAAACATATGCTGTTTGAAATTCATTGTAATTTTTTCCCGTCACATTCATGTGTCCCCTCCCCCCGCCCTCTCCTCAGCATCCATCCCTCCATGTTGTTGCCATTTCCTCCTCTCACCATCATTATTGAGGTCCATTTGTCTGAAGATCTTATCCGTCCTCTTCTCCGGCGTGGATTCATCCTCTGGCATCTTCATCACAGATGACACCATCTTGTAGATGGCCTGAGAGACAGAGCGAGAGAAAGAAGCAGAGAGACAACGTGGGTGGTTGGGTGGGCGGTGGCAGGAGAACAGAAAGATAAGTGAATTCAAGCCAGCAGGGACCCATTAAGGAGACTCAGCAGGAGAGAACGAAAACACAACCGAACTGAAAAATAAAGGCTCCGCAGCTTTCAAGATGCTGATAAACACCCTTTCTAAAAGTCCACATGATTCACTGACATTTGTTACTCCTGATGCTAAGAGCTGCTCTCTGGGCTGTTTTGCCACAAATACCCACACAGGGTCTGGACGCCTATAGAATCAAGCCATCATACTACAGTGACATGTACCAGGAGGGTTGAGGTGGGGGGAGGAGGAAATGGAGGGCTTACGAGCAGAGCTTACAGTATTGATCTGATACGTCTTTATCTGTTGACCGATACGAGCGCCTCGCGTCCCCTGATAGCATTAAATTAACCTCTGCAAGTGAGCACGGAGAAGCTCCAAGTATCAGCTGGCCTCATGCACGGATCTAAAATCAGCTTATGTGCCCATTAAATCTCCTCCACTGGGAGTGCAGGGTGTAAAACTGACGGTAGATCAGTGTCACAGCAGCACCCTCGGAGAAGAAGCTACAATAGCTTGCAGGAAATAAGCCTCCTGTGCTTTTCTGTAAGACATACCAGCTCTAACATTTTATATCTTGGACTAAACTGCAATTTATATTTTCTTCCCCCCCAAAAAAACAACAACAAAGGAAATAAAGCATGCAAACAATCAACAAATATTCCCTTTAATTTAGCTCACACTGACAAATATAAGCACAGAAGTTCCATCTATGTCTTCTTTAGTGTGTGACAGACCTTCAGGTTCATGGTTGGGTCTTTTTAACTTGTCCCCAACAATCACCTCATTGTCAACAGGTGTTCCAGACAGGTATCCGTCAGGGGAGGTGTCCTCACATGTGCCTCACAGAAAACCCTCATCAGCGCTGGATTATACCAGAGATACCGGCTGTCTTGTGTTCAGAAAAGAAGAAAAAGTTTGTGCCACTATCAGCTATCCGTCCTTTAGCTTG